AAGAATGTATTTATATTTTATATATAAATATATTAATATATATCTATATTTTAATTTTCATTTTTATTGTTATTGTCAAACCAAGTATCTTCATTAATACCTTTCAGCATTCTCAAATTTTGGTAAATATTCACAAGTTTCTTTATCTGATCATTATCTAAATATGCACAATACTTATCATATATAAAACCAAAGTTTGACCAATAATGTTTAGCAGCTGCTGAAGAAGCTGGTATTGAAAGAACTTGACAGGCAAACTCAACTACAACAGGAAATTTGTTTGAATAGTTTGATTTTTACCAACTTATTAGAGTTGAATATTTAATTGACTCACAAAGCAATAAGCTAGCAAATTTATCAGTTTTGGTGATATATTTTTGAAATATACCATATATCTTAAATAAATAATATATTTTTTTAATTAATTAATAATAAATAAAAAAAATAAAATAAATAAAATATAATTATAATTTTTATATATATACTGTAGTTTCAAATATATAAACTTTTTTAAGATACAAAATAATTATAGTTTCAAAACTATTTGGGTTTAAACACACTCTACAAAAGCTAATATAAATTTGTAATTAGTATATTATTATTATCAATATAAAATAAAATAATTAAATCTTATTTGGAATCTAGAAGATTTGAATTGCCATTGCAGAGTGAAATGCAAAATTAAGCTAATTATTAATTAAATCAAGTATTTTTATTTTAAAATTCAGGTTTATATTATATAAATTATTAACTGAGTCTTGAACTATTTGCTATTCATAATGAAAAAGTGAGAGTAAAACTTTATTAAATTCAAATATACATATGAGTTTGACAAAAGATATTAAAAGAAAACTAGTTTTTCTAGTTCTTCTTATAATTGATCATTTAATATTTGCTTCCAGAGATCATATGAAATTTTTGTACTAATTTCTAGTTGTATAACAGATATTCAAAGTTCCAATTTACATCTAAGTATAGATTGGATTATATCCAAACATGTTCTTTATCAAATATTAATAGATTGTATTAAAGTAATCATGTCTTGTTGATTTAATAATAAAGATTCTGCTATATGGTGTGAATAAAAAAAACTTATAATTGGTTTTGCACAATTCATCAATTTTTCAGACCAATTAAGCTTTAATATGTCCTTTATTAGAAAATTTCTAATATGTGTATTATATCCTAAGCAAATTAATTGTGAATAGTTATTATTAAATAATCTTCAAGCAATACACATAATATTAGCATTGTCAATTATGATGCTTGCAAATTTAGAAGGATCAACAGACTCTTTAATATTTTTGAATTCATTATAAATATATTTAGCAGTGTGTGATTTAGACTCAATGAATTTGGTATCATAAAAGAATAGTTTTAGAAAGCAAAGAATAAAATTTAAAACTGATTCATACTGAATATTCAACCACCTATCAAATACTAAAGTTATATTTGATGCATATTCTAGTATCTTATTTAATCTTTGTTGTTTAACTTGATATTATGATTTAAGCAAGTAATTAGCTAAACTTTGATAGTTAGAACTTAAATATAATGGTTTTATATTTTTTAAAAATTTAATTCAATAGAGATTTTTGATAGTTGTAAATGCAATACCAGCAGAATAAAAAACTAAGCTAAGTTTTGATCTGCACTTGACTTATTTATAACTTGCAATTCTAAGTTTTGGTTTAAACTTGTTGAAGCAGAAGATTGAGTATTATTTTTTTGATTATTTGAAGTAGTAAAATCTAATGAATTCTTTATTTCTTATGAAAGATTTTTATATCTCATTAGATAGTCTTTTAAATAGTTAATTAAATTAATAATATTAACTTCACAATAAATATACATCTGATAAGGTATTTTCTAACTATATTTATCAGTTTCTGTAATTTTTACAAATTGTAAATGAATGTTCTAAAAGGTGTCTTTCGCAAGATATGATTTTCAAGTTAACATTTAATTTTAAAATTACAATTACTACTTTATTAAATATTCAAATCAAAATACTAATCACTATTCAAAACAACAAATTGCATAATTCATAACAATTATAATGATTATATAATAAAAGATTTAAATTAGCTTTAAATTAATTTAAATTAAAATTAGTGATTTAAATTATTGTAATTTAAATCACATGCTATCTCTAAGGCAAATACTTGACAAACATCTAATAAAGATACAAGGCAAGATCTCATCTTAACACTAAAAAAAAAAAGTAATTTATTTACTATATTTAATTAATAAAATTTATTTATAAAATTTTTAATTTTTATTTTAAATAAATTTAATACTTTTATTTAAAAAATAAAATACTTATAAAAAATAATTATTATAAAATTATTATCAATTTTATAAAATTTATAAATATATTAAATACAAAAATAAAACAGATTAATACAATTTATTTAAATAAAAAATTTTTAAATATTAGGATCTCTTTCAGTATCAGTGATCCCTTCAACAAATTTTTCGATTTGACCAAAATTAACCTTATCATGTGATTGCATGACTGTATAATCAAATATTTGTGCAATTGGAATGTACTACAAAATCATATAAGTAGTGCATTATGTAAGTTTAATCAAATCAAAATTATTAATTTATAAGATAGCGATTATTTATATAAGAATACATAGCATAGTTTGAGTGCTTTTATTAATAGTTGAAAGTTTAGTTTTTTAGCCCATCAAAAACAAGAGACTAGGAAAACTAAAAATAAAGAAGAAGTGTCAGAAGATAGAAAAAAATATAAGAGGTCAGCAAGTTTTCATGTGAAATTTAGAAATTGTTGATATTTTGTCTTTAGAAAATACCAAAAACCAAGTTATTTTGCTATTGAGCAGGAGTTAAAAAAAACTTCCCAAGTAATGCCTAAAGAATTGGATAGACTAAGTAATTATGAGGAAGAAATGAATCAACAAGAATTTTGGAAAATGCTCAGTTATTCAGATATTGGAAACCATTAGTCAAAGCCCCCCTAACCATCATTTTTGTTCTAGCTTTGGAACCAAAAAATTGAAATATCTATGAGTGAATAGTAATTTATGTCTTATGGCAATATAATAGTGCAGAAAAGAAAAAAAGGTATATATAAATACAAATTAATGAGTTTTTTGAGCATTAAATAGGGATCAGCTTGAGAAGATTATAAAAAAAAAACTTGGAAGTAAAAAGAATAAATACTAAAATTATTTATTTTCAAAACATATTGATATAGCCAAAATAACTTAATTAAACAATTGTATTGAAGTGAGATTAAATAAACAGATAATTATGAACA